TGCCTGGCCTCCTGTGTTACTTAGGTATCTACTGATGAGATTGCTGACCTTAGCTGATCTATGACCAAAGTGAAGCTGGCCTCTCAACACTTTGTCTAGACAGTAAGTAACCTTGATCTCTTAGTCTGGCACTCCCCGCCTAGGCATTAGTCAACTAGATCAATGAAGACAGAGGCTGAGACACAGACCAGCTCAACACATAGCAGATCCTACATCACCAAGAAGAAATGGCCCATGCAGTTGTCAAGCCTACCATTAGCATGTCTTAGGGACAGGATCCCTAAGACTCTTTCTTTCTTTCCATACCCAGCATGAGTGGCTAACAGAGACTGCATGCTCATAAAAGGGTGTGAATATGCAATTGTTTGGCTTATTCAAACAAAATCTGAGAGAGAAATCACAAAGGAAGTGGCAAAGCAATTGTAAACAAATTACAAAAGCAGTATAAGAAGCTAATTTTACAGGGGAAAGGGGTGTATCACTTAGAGTAAATGAGTATGCTTATACATTTTGTTAATTTAAATAAAACCATGTTCCCAACTCGAAAAACAAAGAGTAACAATAATAATACAAGAAAAATGGGCTATCAGTTTGAGAGTGAGGGGGCATGAGAGGCGGGTCAAGGAGGAAAGGAAGTGGAAGTAATAAAATTATGCTTTAACTTGGAATACATTTTAAAAATAAGATAAAGGTTAAAGTAACAAAATGGAACTAAAAGATGAAGATAGAAATTTTCATTTAAATTAAATGAAAAGTAGTAAAGACAAATAAATCTCACTGAATATGTAAGTGAAAAATCTATAAAACCCTGACAAATTAAGTTTATTAATATCATTGTAAAATACATTATAATTCTAAAAAAGATACTTCTAGTTTTCCCTCAACTATCTATTTTCCAAATTTATCCAATGTGCTTGAATTCTCAACCAAAAAGCTAATAGCTTGCAAAGAAATTGTTTTCAGATGCCACCGTCTTGAAGCTGAAGTGAAGAGTAACACACACGTATTTTGTCCTCACTACACCTCAGTGTTCATGTCCCCACACTGGACTTAGGCTAAAGTCCTACAAATGTTTTAGTTTGAGAAAGATGTAAGCGTATTGCTTCTCCTCATGCCTTTTATTAGAGAGTGTGTCCGTGCGTCATTAGGAGGAACTTACTGACCTATCACGTATCCACATTCTTCATTCTAGATACGGTCACTGGGCTGGCAACAATGTGTGGTCTGAGTGAGAGAAAGATGAAGAAAACAAACGAGGGAATCATTGGACTGAGAGCATGATGACTTCCACTCACTTGGAAGGTGTGGATCAGTAGGCAGTGTAGAAAGCCATGGACAAGTCCACGTGTGCAAGGGGACGGAATCCACCAGAGAGCAGAGGGAGACAATCAGAACACTAGAACGGGGGTTTAAACCAAGAGATGTCTCAGTGGTTAAAAGCACCGGCTACTCTTCCAAAGGACACAGGTTTGATTCCCAGGACCCACGTGGCAGCTCAGTAACTCCAGTTCCGGTGGATCCAACCCCTCCTCTGGTTTCCAGTGGTGCCGTGTGCACACACAGATGGAACACCCACACACATAAACAAAAATGAGAGAAAAGACAGTGCCTAGAATAGCAGAACTCAGGAAGCAGAGAAGGGGAGACCGCTGAGAGTTCAAGGCCATCCTGGACTACCCAATGAGCTCCAGAAGAGCCAAGGCTATTCAAAGAGACCCTGTCTCAAAAAATATTTTTAATAACAGGTTTGAGTATGACTTAGCTTACATAAGACAATAAGGCTAAAAGGCCTTCATAGGATTTTTGTCATTTGAAAAAGAACACTTGAGTAATGAAAAACTCAAACTTTTTCCTCTAGATTTTCTATTTAAATTAGAAACAATCTTGTTTTACATGTCAATCCCAGTTCCCTCTCCCTTCCATCCTCCCATGTTCCCCACCGACCCCCATCCCATCTTTCTTCTGCTCTCCAGGGAGGGTGAGGCCATCCATGGGGGAATCATCGAAGTCTGTCACATCATTTTGGGACAGGGCCTAGGCACTCCTCCCTCTATGGGGAATGGGCTCCCAAAGTCCATTCATACACTAGGGATAAATACAGTCTCACTACCAGAGGCCCCATAGAATGCCAGGCTGCCTAACTTACATCCATTTTCAGGGAGCCTGGTTCAATCCTATGCTGGTTTTCCAACATCAGTCTGGGGACCATGAGCTCCCCCTTGTTCAGGTCAGCTGTTTCTGTGGGTTTCTCCAGCCTCCTGACCCCTTTGCTTATCACTCCTCCCTCTCTGCAACTGGATTCTAGGAGTTCTGCTCAGTGCTTAGCTGTGAAAAACCCAAATCTTACAAGGACTTTAGGAGGGCTGTTACCTGCTACCTTCTTATTAGAATTACTTTCTTTTTTAATTTGAATTCTTTAATTAATACTCATATTTTCATATCTCTCCCCCCATCCCCTTGCCCTCCCATCCTCCTATGTTCCCCATCTTGGAAAAATAGAATTACTTTCTTATCAGTGTTTAGGATAACACACATTGAGACAAAGTTAATTCACTCTGAACACACAATCTGTAACTGTGTGGCCTGTCATTACATATTAGACTTAGAAACAACTTTTCTGATTCATTTCAGTTTATTTTCATTTTAATATCCCAAATTTCAATGAATATGGTTTTTCTTTTACACTAAGGTTGTTAGCCTGCCTTGTAAAGGAACTGTGGAGCTTTCACCTCAAGTCTTGTTTCTCTACTGTTTTGTTTAAAATGGAAAGTGTGTGTATATGTGTGCGGTCACCCATATAGACTTGATACTATTGTAGCCCAGATACAGCAAGGAGGACCTAGGCCCTCCCCCCAAACAATATGACAGACTTTGAAGGTCATTGGTGGAGGGCCTCACTATCCCTGGGGAGGAGTTGGGGGATGGGTGGGGGGTGGTTGGTGGGGGAACATAGGAGGATGGGAGGGCAAGGGGATGGGGGGAGAGATATGAAATGAGTTACCTCAGTAATTTATTCCATAAGGGAAGTTCTGCCTTGAGGCTGGAGAGATGACTCAAAAGTTAAGAGTGCTACTGCTCTTTCCAGTGGACCCAAGTTTGGCTCCAAGGACACATATCGGTTGTATCACAACCATCTGTAACTACAGTGCCAGGTCATTTGGCATACTCTTCTGTTCTCCATGGGCTCCTGAACATACACAGGCACACAGAGAAAGTAGTAAATATTTTCAGAACACAGTCTCATTTAAAAAGTAGTGTCTTCTTGAAAAAAAAAAGAAAAGAAAAAAGTGTTAGCCTTAACTTTACAGACAACAAACAAGTACCTTTCAAAACTGAGTTGGCCTATCAAGATTTTAATGTACTCATAAATTCAAATGTGTTTGTTGTCTTCTAAATACTCCTTCTAAGTGGTTAAGATATCATAAAAGACTACCAGCAAAACAGCATGTTTGAGTCAAATATCCACCTAACCTCAGAGAAACACACAAGATAATCTGCACAGTGAGCAAGAATGTGCTCCGGTGTGGGTAAGACGCAACTATGTGTCTTCAATATGGTCCCTATACCTGTGTTTCAGGGTTCATCACAGAGGGTGAGGACAGACTGAGTCCGAGGATCCAGGTGCTTACGAGCTGGAAAATAGTCCCTTTCCACAAAGCTGCACCCATGAAATCTCAATACGGCTGCCTGAACAAGAACAGCATAATGAAGTCAGGCATGGTGGAGCACAACTTTAATCCCCACAGTAGAGAGGCAAAGGCAGGCAGATCTGAGTTCAAAGCCAGCCTGCTGTACTGAGTAAGCTCCAGGGAAGCCAGAGAAATCCTGTCTCAAAATACAAAACAGAACAAGAGGAGAAGGAAAAGGAGAGGAAGAGGAATAAGAAGAACTGTATAATGACAACAGTTAACATGACAGTATGGAAGGTGAAATTTCACAGGGTTCCATCCTTAGACAAAAAGCTAAAAACAACCAATGGCTTCGAAGAGATGAACTGTTTTTCTATGGTGATGAGCCCCCTAATACGTTATCCAGGTAAATCACTATCAGCTGGTCAGCCCTTAGCACAGCCACATAAGAACAACACTAAATGGATTGGGTAAGGTGTGTGTGTGTGTGTGTGTGTGTGTGTGTGTGTGTGTGCGCGCGCGCGCACGCACGCACGCACGCATACACACACACGCTCTGACAAAGAAGAGGTCACAATGGATGTAGTAGAACACATGGAAGAAGTTGAGGGCAGGAGAGGGAGGAGGAAATGATGTCAATACTGCACTCATGTATGAAATTATCAAAACAATTTAAAAAATGAGCTTCGGAGTCAAGTGACTTCAATTTGAATACCAAATCTCTTACTCTTAAGCTGTGTGCTTTGGACAGGTTTTTAAATCTCTACATGATTCAATTTCCTTGTCTACAAAATGGATATAATAGAAATATGCAATGTTTAAGGATGGTGTGTGTGTGTGTGTGTGTGTGTGTGTGTGTGTGTGTGTGTGGGACCTAGCACAAAATAAGAAGTCAGTTTTCAACCTAATATGAATTCATATATGCATGTAAACATACATCTTGAATTTTAATAAATTCAGTCACTTCAAACTGATCTCTGCATATTCACAAAGAGATCTTTAATTCCCAAATTCACAAGTGAAAACTCATTAAATAGTGACTTGGTTTACTATTTTAAATATTTCAGTCAGAAGCATGGTTCTCAGTACCGTGTTAGTGGTTTCTGATGGTGAAGCCACACAAGTGCTTCCCTGGAGTCTTGACCAAACACAAATATGTCCAAATCTAGGGAAAGGACCTGAAACCAAATAATCCCATCATTTGCATCTCTGTATTTACAGAAAAGAATTCTTGTATAAACAAATTGAGTGAGTTTGGGATGGTACATGAGCTTCTTCCTCCCATAACATAAATCACAGGAGCTGACAAGGACCTGCTTGTTGAATGTCAGGACACATTTTCCTGCAGGCTCCAAAGAGGAACCACCCAGGATGGCTCAACCTGTCAACTATTGGAGGCATGATGTACCACCATTTGTCGTCTTTATTTTGACAGTTGTAGCCACAGAGTGCGTCATTGGTATCATTGCAAATGGAGTCATCATGGTTGTGAATGTGGTCCCTTGGGTTCAGAAAAAGTCAGTTTCCGTAAACACTAGGATTCTGCTTTTCCTGAGTGTATCCAGAATAGGCTTCCAAAGCCTCATCTTGGTAGAAACGACCTTCTCCGTATTCAAAGTTTCTTTTTACAGTAGTGTTTCCTATAGCATCTCCAAAGTAAGTTTCATATTCTTAAATTATTGTGGCCTCTGGTTTGCTGCTTTACTTAGCCTTTTCCACTTTGTGAAGATTGCCAATTTTTCTTACTCCTTGTTCCTCAAGCTAAAGTGGAGAATTTCTGAGTTGATGCCCTGGCTTCTGTGGCTCTCTGTGTTTATTTCATTCAGCTCCAGCATGTTGTACTGCAAGGACACCTATACCGTGTATAACAACAATTCTCTAAGTTTCAATGCCTTCAACTACACAGTGAAAGTATACTTCATTGAGACTAATGTTGTCAGTGTAGCTTTTTTATTCAGTTTGGGAATTCTCCCTCCTCTGATCATGTCCACTTCGGCTACCACTCTGCTGGCACATGAGAAAAGGCGCCCCTGGCTCCAGAGACGCCAGCAGAGAGTCTCACATGCGAGCCATTAAAGAAACCAGCTGCTCTCTCTTCCTCTATATTTCAAACGCAGCTGCTCTGTTTGTGTACCTGTCCAACTTAGTCGATGCCAGTTTTTTCTGGGGTATTTTACTTAAAATCATCCTTCCCTGTTACCCAGCTGGCCATTCAGTTTAACTGATTCACAACAACCCTGGATTAAGAAGAGCCCGGAAGCAGCTTCAGACCCAAATCCATCTGTACTTGCAAAGTAGATTCTGATATCAGCTCCCAGAGAGGACCACACAACACAGACAACCAGCCCCTCATTGCCCTTACTGGGATCTCTCCTTCCTCTCCAGCTTTCTTTATCAAATCCAACCTGATCCCTTTGCCTGATGCAGAGTCTCTGTGTAGGATTGAACACAACTACTCTCTAGAGTTTTGTGAGCACAATCTTAGTGATGTTAACTTATTCTTGTCCTTAGCCCTCTATGTCTACCTCCCCTTACTCTATCTGAGACACACTGGAATCCCTAGGAAGAACTAGGGATTCTAGTCCAGCTTTGACTTCACAATAGTCAAATAAGAATTTCTGGTGTCCTAATTTAGAAGTATTCAGGGTGATTCTGGTGTGCAATCAGAGTTGATACAGACACCAAAGCAGAGACTTCCAAAACTTGAGTTCCTGATTACTTCATTTGCCTTTTCAACCTTGCGGGGCTTTTCTAAGCAACATCTGGAAATGCATTTGTGTCCACCCTCCGAAGACACCAGCTAATTAATTTGGAAAGAACTCTCAAAGTTGACAATACAAAAGTCATCCCTCAAACTAAAAAACTATCATCCTAACATTTTTTTTTCTAAACACATGGTTTTATGAATTTGTGGAACCTCGGAAGTACACACAAGAAGAATTCTACTGTGCTATTGCTCTTAATAAGAAAATCTGCGTATCCAAACTACAATATTATTGTGGAAATGGCAATATTATTTCTTACCTATATGTGGGTGTATGAGTGCATCCCCTGACGTGTCTGTGGAAGTCAAAGGGAAACGTGAAGGACTCAGTTCTCTCCTTCTACCAAGTGGATTCTGAGAATAAAACTCAAGTCACCAGGCCAAGCATCAGGTGGCAAATCATCTATCTCAACAGCCCTGTGTTTACATTTTTTAAAAAGGAGATAGCTGCATGTATATAGATTAAAAGAGTTCTATTATATTCTTAAGAGCAAAAAAATGAAGCTTCTGTCACTCCCTTTCCTTTTCTGCTTTCACAGAACACATTCCTGGAGTGTATTTATATTTCTATGTAAAATATTGACATAGTGTGGCAGAAATTATTAGCAGATGACTTCTTTACCAATTGGTGGAAAATTACCAATACAGAGTCAGATAGAAATATAAGGGGATTTAATAGGGAAAAGCCTTACTTACAGAGCGAACTAGCCAGCCGGTGTGGCAGCAGTCTGTACGCAAGCCCAAAAGTGAAAGCGAAAGAGAAAATGCAGTCACACTACCTCTCCCTGACCACGCCCTCGAAAGCCTGGTCAGGCACACCTGTAGCCAGCCCCTAAGTAGGCGTGGCTACAGCTTCCCCTACAATTCCCCTTTTAGTCTAAAAGAGGATTAAAACTTAACAGTTTAAAGTATCCAAAATTAACAATCATAAAGGTAAAATATAAAAAGATACAACAATCTGCTTATGTCACATCCTAACTATTTTAACTAAACCCTAAAGTCATCTGTCTAAACCAGAACACCTCCTTCCAATCCCAACCATAAATAATAGGAAGCTATCCCTAA